ATTAAATTTTTGAACATTTTTAGACTACAGTAGAAGTACTTATTAACATAAATCAGCTCTGCTATAGATTTTGCTGACTTGATGATACTAATCTGAGCTTTATGATGCAGGCAACATTCTGCATGTAACCTTATTCCATTGCATATGAATCAGACACTTCTTTTTGCTGTTACATTATCAGCTGATAGGGAGATATGGTTGTTACACAGTAATGTAGCCAGGCAGCAGCACAGTATTGCAGCCAAAGAACAGGGTTCTGGATTTTGCATCATGGACAGAACCACCTGCCATTACCCCATTTCTGCATGACCTTTGGGCAATTGGTATTGTCCCTCTTCATCATTCATTAATTGCAAGACTTAAATGGCCAGCAAGATCTTTCAAACTATGTGCAATCGATCCCAAGCATTTGATCGTTTCTCCTCTGCATGGAATTCCCTTTTCCATGACTTGTGAAATGTCTTAGAGTTTGGGGATACAATTACTTCACAAAAACAAACAAACAAACAAAACCAACCAACCAAAAAACCACAAAACTTTAACTTCATGTAGAAACAGTGACATTTAAAAACAGTCTGCAAAGTAAATGGTCCACTTTAAACCTAGTTGAAAGGAAACAGCTGTTTCCAGGCAGCAAAATAAATAAAAGGGGTCAAGCCTCCCAAAGTAAATATGCTGTGATGCACTTTAAATTTTTTAATATTTCCTTCAGTGATCCCACTGGAGAACTCAGGGACGCTGGACAGCCACAGCAGAAGAAGCAGACTGAAAAGCCATCAGCATGGGATGCATTAAGTAATTTTGTTTGTTTGTAAGTACATAAAAATAAAATATGTAAAATTATCCTGTGAGAAAACAATTTGGGGTATCTAGTGGATGACTTGAAATCCTACTCAGCAGAGGTGACATTCGAGAAATGCCAAAGACAAGCCTAGCTGTCCCCTGCTTTACCTGTTTCCCTCTCAGACCAAATTAAGCAGGTTATAGGATGTGGGTCCTGAGATAAGAAGTTCAAGACTTGGAACCCTTTGCCCATCAGTGTCTTTCATAGATCTGCAACAGCTCACAACAGTGTCAGATATTCCTGATTATACATCTCTAACTGGCTGAAATGAAATAAACCATAAATACCTTGCTACTTGACATAAATAAAAGTGAAAGAACCAGGCTCTGAATCATGAACAGAGCTCATGCATTTATATGTGTTTAGCTGAAATGTTTATATTGAACTATTTCAGAACCCTGAGCCCAAGCAGAAAACTGCCCTCTGAAACCACAGAGCACTGGAGTGGCACATGCAGGGCATGTCACACCAGGAAGGGACCCACCTACCTGCAGATGTCAGAGGAGAAGAAACGCAGTACCTGATTCTTCTTAACAAATGGTGGGAATGATGCCCCATCTGTGAATAAAATAAAATAAGAACTTGAAAGCAATTCCACTTAGAGGGCATTATACTCAGCTGTTACTTTCCTATAAAGCTGTGGAAAAGATAAACAAAATGAGTAATTTATGGGAAAAGATATATGTGTACAATAACAGGCACACTACAGATAAGGTTATATTATGTTTGAAAGTCAGCCAAATTATGGCAGGGTTTTTTTTTTTTTTTTTTTTTTTTTTTTTTTCACCCACAGATATGAAATTGTATGATCAGGCCCATTAAAGAAGAGAATACAAAACCCAGTTTCTGCATATTACAAATCCCAATACCTGTTGCCATATCTTGAAGGGTTATGCAGTCTTAAGACCTAAACCTTTCTAGACATGCTTGGTCTACCTGCAATTATGGCACTCAGAACTTATGAGAAACACAGGTTTAGACTTCAACATTGCCTCTTTAACAATCAGTGCTAAACTTTTTTCCACCAAAGATTGCTCAAGCAGACATAATAAACTGAGATCCTCTCTCACTAAAGGAAAGAAGCACTTCTAGGGCACAACTCATCTTACTCCATGACAGAAGTGCAAAATAGGCCAGAGGAATAGCTCTTTGGCAATGCCTTTTTCTCCACTCACTATGAAAAAAATACAGAGACTTCAGATGCATATTTCTACATTGCAAGCATCCAGAGTTAAGCAAGAGGACCCTGCCATATTCCCAAAGGTGTTGCAACAAAATTTTAACCAGCACATTTCTTACTTCTTGCTACAATTTTTTTTAGTTTCTTAGTAATAAGCAGTCAAAACCAAGGCACTGAAAACATCTGTGATATCATTTAATCTAGTTGGCAAGAGTGAGAAAGCCAAATTACATACTGTGATTTGCCCACTGCTGACAGAAGCACTTTTTTTTAAAGAAGATCCAAGATCATGGTGGGCGCACACTTGATTTCTAAATCTTGGCAGTCTCAGGGAGTTTGCAAACATGGGCTCATTTCAAACCCAGAAAAGAATACTGCATAATATTTTTACCTAGATATTTACTTATTCTATACATGCTGCACTTTGATGTGAAAGCTTCCAAGACAAGAAGGAATTTCCACACTTATTTGTATGACTTTGTAAACCTGTTGCTTCTCTAAACACACTGTCTCTCCTGAGCAGTTGCACTGAATGCTTTTGTAAATTCTGTGATAACCTTTGATAACAAGGAAAGACTCCACATTTCTACTGTACTGGTGCACTAGTCTAGTTAGCTGAGTATGTTTATTCTACCTGCTGTAGAAGAAGAAAAACCATAACACTGACCCTGGGAAAAAAAGTTGTCAGGCTCCATAAGAAAGAAGAAACGTCCCAGAACCAAATGGAATATTGCCTCTTCTAAAATTAATTACATAGTTTTAAAAGGAACTAATCTTTTCTCATTCATAGACTATTGGAAATTCAGATTATTGTGATGTATTTGAAATACTTCAACATAATTTGCCTTGTACAAGGAAAATTAACTATACCAGCTAAAGCAACACATAAAAGGAAAACAAAAACAAACAAACAAACAAAAACAAACAAAAAAACCCACAAAAAACACAACAAAACCAATCAACCCATAAACATGTTTGTTTTGACACTTGCTCACTGAACACCTGTCTGCAAAAGCCTCCATCACAACATTTGCCAGCCTCAGCTCCTCAGATTCTGCTGTTCTCACAGCAACATTAGCACTCATCAAGTATCACCTTCAACAAATGTATCCTTCAACAAGTTCTCATGTACATTCCAAATGCAAATTAAAAAATATACTTTCTTAGTTGATTCAACCCAAACTAAACTACTTCTCTTCTTCATCCCTTTTCACCTGTTGGGGCCTTCACACCACTTGTTGGAGAACCGTAACCCTTTCCACTTCAGTTTATTTTCATATCTCAGTAAAAATTATTTGTGTTAATTCCTGTGCATTTAATTTTGGATTTTTTTAAAATAATGTAAATGGATGTGCATTATTGGATGCAAAGAAAATTTTCAATGGTTGAAACAATAAAAAAATTATCTTAGTTATATTGTACCATATAGCTAATTAGTAGAAAAATATAGATGGATTCTGTTCTTCTGTCTATTCCAAATCTACTCTAACTAAAGAGGGTGTGTGTATATGTATATACAAAATAATGTAAAATAACATATAATATAATAGATGCAAACTTATCCATGTATAGTAGTAATAGTATGTATATATTCTGGTTTGTATAGACATTTAATACACAGAACACAGAACTCTCAAAACTCCAGGGAATTAAAATAAACATTTTGTTTCGTCATTCCCTTTAAAATATCAATAAATCTGTTGATTTTTTAGAAAGTTTGAATAGGCTCACCTGTGCCATTGACCATATCACAGTGACCTTCCCAGTATGAAAGATTCCTTTAAGATTAAAAAAAAAAAAAGTCATATTGCAGGTTGCATATTATACCATGTAATCCACTTCATTACCTGTATTGCTAAACATAACTGCTCCAGCATAAGCCTGACCCATTAGCAAAGTCAGAGGATAGAGATATTCAATATATTCAGATAAACTATATGACACATTGGAATAGGATAAAAGGGATCTGGCTACTTAAGTATGCAAAGTAGAAGTAACTACTTGTATCAAAGAATCAATAATTCTCTCAATCTGAACTCCAAAAAGAATCATGAATAACTGAAAGAGACAGGTGGTTTTGCTAAGCCCAGGACCTGATCCAGCTTCCCTCAAATTATTGAAGGTTTTCCATCTATCTATAGCTCTTAGTGAATCAAACCTTAAAAGTCATACCTCAAAAATACTTATGGTCTTTAATTATACAAAGCTATGATACCTTTTGTTTTTATAGCTTTCAATTATTGCTGTTTTTTTAATATCTTCTGCCCCAGTGTAAACTCTGTAAAGTCCATCAGATGTTCCGTTATACTGTAACAGACACAAGAAGTAGGAATAACAGTTAGAAGTACAGAACCAGGTTGTAGCATTGTCACATTTTTCTTCCTCACAGTAGCTGCCTTAATTTTTATTCACAGAATGATATCTGAAGGTTTTGCCTCTTCATTTGTTTAACTTACCGGGTAGAAGACTCCCAGAACTGGGTCCAAAGGGAAGGGAACCTTGTTTAAGAAGGGATCTTTGTATCCCCACAGTAGTTCTTTCACTGTTCTGTTCTGCAGCAAATATGACTTAGAAGATTTCATCCAAGTATTTAATAGTAGTTGTATAAAAGTGTTTGTATACAAGGAAGGTGCAGCCTACAACAACAATAAAATTATAGTTTAGTATAAAATTCTGCATGTGCTTTGGATTAAAAACACAGAGATTGACCGCAAGAAATCTCTGGCAAAGCCTTTCCAGAGTTTCAGCCCACTGTAAGTTAAGTTTCTACTTAAAACTGATACTCCTTAACAAAACAATTACTGGTAATACTACACAAAGACAAACAATTCATCTTTACTGCCATTCACTAGCTCATCCCTAATCACAGAACCACAGAAGAGCTGAGGTTGGAAGGAACCTCTGGAGGTCATCTAGTCTAACACCTCTCTACAAGCAGGGCCATCAAGAGTGGCCTAAGACCATGTCCAGATGGCTTTTGAATATCTCCAAGGAATAATCTTGAGTCTCTATCTGTATAATATGAGTTGTTCCACTTTTGGTTTTCTAGCTCTCTCCTGTAATCTCCATATGCCATATACTTCAGATTCATTTGCACTAAAACATTTAAGTAAAAATATAGAAGCCTTGTTAATCACTGACTTAGATACCTGGCTAAGATTTGCTGTTACACTAGCAGCAACATAACTTTATCCTGCAAAAACTGATCAAGTGCTGAATATCCATTATTTCTTTACCTAGAATGAATACATCTTTGCAATTAACAAGTCCTCCTTTCCGAACAGCTCTAATTATAAATAATGGATAACTTTTCCTAATTCAATAAATACTAATGTAGATTTGCCAGTAGTAGTTGTAATGAATGTTCCCAGAGGCATAACACTAAGTCTAGTCCCTAAAGGCACTTGTGGAAAGCAAACAGAAATTATCTATGTTGGCCTGTCTGGTGAAGCAGGAAATTGTAACCGTTTTGGTAAGTAATTCTGTATAAAACCAAGCAATTTTCTTAGAGCAAGTGCTCAGCTCTTCAATAGACCATATTTTTACAGTTAGTGCTACAGGGGTAGCAATGGAAGAGTCTCTTTTGCTCTCACTTCCTGCTGTCTTCAGCCCCATGAGTCTTTCACTCTTGTCTGAAATTGAAAATAGAGTAAGAAGTAAACATGGATAGAAGAAGATTATAAGATGCAGATGTGTGTTCAGTCTCCTCAGAATTAAGAGACTGTGAAAAACATATATCTGAAATCCCTTGTGTGTATTTTGATGACAAGGTTATGATATAAAAGGTAGGCTCTAATGGATTGGAGTCAGTACTGGTGAATGAGATAGGAAGGGTCTCTCTGGGAATGCAGGCTTACACCAGTCTGTTTCTGAATAGCAAAACAAACTTTGGATGCTCTGTTCCCATCTCCCCTAAAAAATATGCTTCCAGGCATGAGACTATGCTTAGCTCCATAAACAGCTACATGGTGCTAAGTGTGGAAGATGAGCAGTGTTAGCTAATACTGTGACATGAAGGACCCTGAGTACAGGAAACAAGAGCAGCTTTCCAAGAAACGTGCTGGCCTAAATTAAGGCATGGGCAGAATATATGGGGTCTGAATAACGTAATATGCCATTATCTATTAGTTCTTTTCTCCCCAGAGAAAAGAAGGCTCAGGCAGACTTGCTCACAATATTCCAGTACTTAAAGAGCTGCTAGAAAGAGGATGGAGGCTCTTTTTTTTAACAAGAGGTAACATGGAAAAAAGAAGGGATAATGGATAAAAGTTGCACCAGGACAGGTTTCATCTTAATAGAAGAAAAAAATGTTTTACAGTGAGAACAGTCAATCAGAATAGTCAGAGTGTCATAGAGTCCCTGTAACTGGAGGTTTTCAAGGTGCCTAGGTTTCTGGGATATCTCTTCGTGGCTCCCTTTCTCAGAAAAGCTTGGATCAGATGATCTTTTGAGGTCCCTTCTAACATGGGTTCTTTGATGATTCTGTGATTGATTCTGTGATTCTATATTGTGTTAACAACATCATCTATTCACTCTGCCCCTAGCACCCACCCTTTCCCAGTGATCCTGACACTCACACACACAGACACCACAGAGTCAGTACATGACAATCAAGCAACACAACCAGGGCTGAATGTAAATATGAAAACTGTAAACATCAGTGAAGAACAAACATTCTCAACCTCTGTAAATACAAGAACATCTGGACCAAAAAAGGCTCCAGCACTGCTCTGGGTGGGAACCCCTGTACTTTTCTTTGAAGGACTAAGAAGTCCTGGTATGACAGGAGAGGTCAGGGGAAACTGTTGCTGTGGTGGTGAGGGGCACCATGGGGAATAAACACAGGGGGCCAGTGAAGTCATGCATGCACCGTGGATGAGATTTAATGCAGCCTCCCCTCCAAAGCAGGACTGAGGATGGTATGTAAAGAGTATGACAAATCTGCCTTGTACTGTTCATGCTGTACCTCACACAAAAAGGGAATTCATCCACAAACTTTTGATTCACTCCCACATTAAAATTAACCAGGAGGATGCTTTTTGATACATCCCATCCAAACCAATGTCTTTGCTTCCATTGACAGGAACAAGTAATTTTCCATTTACCATTGAGATTGTCCTGAGAATATATGGAAACCTAAACATATGCAATATGTTCTCAGAATTTTATATTTTTTTACAGCTATCCTCAGCCTAGCTGACACTCGTGTCATCTGAGTTCACAGAGAGAAAACCTATTCATATCCTTAACCCTGCCACATCCCTTGGCAGTTTCACCATTACTAATGTTAAATTCTCCCCTATGTCCTCCAGTATCTTGATATTCAAAAGTGGTTTTGTTTCTTTACTTACAGCAACAGCAAGGTTGAGGCATGTGAATGTATCATTTTCTGACCCAACAGAGAGATCAGGTTCAAAACGAGCAACATTAGGCAGCATGTAGGATATTGTGCCATCAGAGTTATCCGTGATATTTTCTTTGGGTAAATATCTCACCCTTGAAATAGAAAAATGAAAACACAGAATCATTTTTAAATTTTATTTTTGAAACAACAAATAACTATGCCTGACTGAAGTTTTTTGAAGTATCCATGAATATTTTTGTAGATGACTGTTGAACATTTTGTAACTGCTGAAAACATTATAAACTTTTCATGTGAATGTATTTAATAATTCCATTTTCTGTAAAATATATTTCTTTTGGGAATATTCCCTTAGAGCCTAATGTGTTTGCTTCTTTCTTAATACAAAAATTAAAACAAAAATTTCCTCTTTTTTATTTTTTATTTCAATAATGGATCATATCTATTATTATATTTAGTTTTAACTTAATTATGTTTTGTCCTTTTTTCTTTCTAAGCTTTCTCACCAACTCATTTACATAGAAGGAGACGACTCAGAATGGTTAATAAACATTCTTAAATTTTAATCCAATAGGCCAATGTTAAATCAAACGAGATTATAGGTTAAATCCATAATGGGAAACACTTTGCTAACATTTAATTTGTATGTTGAGATTTATATGAAATCTTTCAGCTCCCCTGAGATTCTCATAAGCTTCTCAAGGTTGCTCAATCAGCAGATATCTAAGGTACTAATCTCTGATCTGCTGCAGTTCTAGCTATAGGTCAATTCTGCAAGTTCCCATTTTCTTGCCGACCCCTCTGTGGGGGCAGGTTCTAGCAAGTATAATATGACTTTGTCTATGCTTTGGGTCTACAAATTTGTCCTAGCTCCATCCCAGAAGGGATCTCCATGGTACTCCACCAGATCTTCCAGCCTGGGCTTGGAGACACCTAAAGGTTCAGAGAGCATTTCCCCAAGGTACAGACATGGCCATGGCAGGAGGGCCTTATCCCAAAAGCAGCTGGGTCTTGGCTTCTTAAGATTGGTTTGTGTACATTCAATTTTAATTAATAACTTAATGTGTAGAACAACTACCTGAAAGTTGGGAGATATTTTTTTTCTGATTATGTTACTTCCAATTGGAAACAAAATACCTAAAACATGTCCCAACAGAATTGAGGGAGTAGTTGCATTTTCAAGGCCAACTGTTTGACATTTTAAAAACTAATTAAATATTTAAAGGGAGATTAAGAGAGAGAGACTCAGTGTCACAATGATTCAGGTTGACTAAATATCATAGGTAAGCATGACTACAGCAGTGAGAAGAGCTATAACCATCATTTCTTACATAATATCATCTAGGCTTCTGGCAGAGATTAGTCCCTGAGAAAATGGGCACCATCACCACTACCAGAATAAATAATTTCTGTTTTGTGGGAATTACTGTTCTGCAGTATTTCAATTCATCCTTTGCATTGTTCCAATTTATGTTCTGCAGCATTTCAATTCATCCTATGCATTATTTCTTAACTGGTTCATTTCCTGATTCCTGTGTAACCTTTGTCTTCCCAGGTACTTTATGAATCAAGAGCTCTTTGTTTCTTATGAGAAACATCTTACGAGATGTAGGCATCACAGCACCTCAGCTGTAGATGCTGCAAAGCAAAATATCTTGCAAATACAATATTCATCTGCAAAGATATCATGAAAGAAATATCCTATCATTTTAGGAAAGAAGTTTCATAACAGGGGCGCCAGTAACAGCTGGATATTGGACTTAATGACTCAGGAAGCATGTCAACCTCACATTTAAAATTTAGCAAATTATTGAAAGCTTCCCTGAATGGGACTGAACTGCTACATCTAGGCCCAAGCTAGTAGTTTCAGAAAAAAAAAAAATGCTTTTCAGAGGAAAAATTGAAAAGGGAAAAGCTAGAGATTCATAATGAATTTTAAAGGAGCAAAGAAACAAAATATATTATTAAAATAAATGTGTGATACATGAGTGATAATCTCTTGCTTGTAGGGCATCTGGCATATTTTTATATAAGTAAAATGTTGGCAAAAACTGAACAGCAACAAACGCCACGTGCCTCTGTGCTGTAGTGGGAAACACCAGTGAGCAATCATATTGCACAAAAGCAAACAGCTTCACACCCAATTACCTATTTCTACATGTGTTTACCCAATGTGAGACTCAATACAGAAACTGTTTGTGATTGCTGCATGTAACTGCAATTTGGCATTTTTGTCAATTCTGATTAAAATACAATGCTGGAACATAAAAAAATTACATTTTAAGTCAGTAGAACCTTATCTGACTTTAACAAAACTTCTGATATGACATGTCATATTCAGGAGGTTTTACTTACCTGTATGTGTAAGGTCCTCTTTGTTCAAGTTTTGGACGTGCTCCTTCTTCTAATACCTCTGAAGGATTTTGCACATGGAAAATCCAAAATTCCCTGTAAACTGAACTTCCTGGCACAACCCAGTTGTCATAAGCAATGGTACCATTTACAATGACAGCTTCCTAAAAAGATAAAAATCAAAGCTAAAATTAGTCATAAATAATGAGTGAGAGGCTGCAATTGCTTTCCAGATGATTGCAGAAGATTCCCAAATAGAAAAAAACCAAACCAAAACAAAACAACAAATAAAAAAAAACAACACCAAAACCCAAGCTATATATTATCATCAATATGAGGCATAAAACACACAATTTTGAGCAACATTTGAAGGATCTCTGACATTCTTGCCCTATGAGAGCAAAAGTGATTCCCTCTAAACAACGTGACCACAAAGCTGATATAATTGCTACTGTCACCAGTAGCAAAACTTTCCTACTGCTGAGGTCAGGCATTGCCTTGGTTCCCAAACACTTGCCAAATCCACTGATGATGTGTAAAAAGAAAATATTTGAGTGACTGAATGATATCCAGCAGTTTTTAGAGTCCATAAACTACTTTTCATACCTTTCCAAATAGCCCAAGGAGGTAATGAGTTACCTCTGAGCATTAATCAGGTACTAAGTAACCCAAGGAGAACAAATGTTTTTGCAGAACAAAGCTGTCTTGCAGAACTGCTTTTTGTCAGAAATGTCTTGTCAGCAAAACTGAGAATTTCTAATAAATATCTCTGTTTTTGACAGTATTTTGTTAGAAAAGTTTCCCAGCTGTGAATAGTGGCCTGTCTTCTCCATCCACAAAAGACTTAACTCCCAAGTCTTGGGAAGGAGTTAAAATATGCCTCTAAGGACAAGACAGGACATCAGGAACCTTTCTAATGTAACCACCATTTTTCTGCCTGTGGCACTCAGGTAGAGTATGGTAAATGTCTATACAGTCCTAGAGACTGTACAGTCTTGCACTCAGATCTAACAGTTAAAATACTCTTCAGCCATGTTTTGCAAACCTCAGGAGACCAAAGGTTCTACCACAGCTGTGATCCAGCATGGGGCAGAACATCTCCTTGGTGGAGAAAGAAAAGTTTATATGATTTGGAAACCACCCTTTCAGTTTCCACAGATAATTGCTAAAAGGATCTGGGAGAAGGAGGCTGGTATTAAGAAAAGCAAAACTCAGTCTATCTGTGATCAGCAGGGTCTTGGGATGGAGGCAGATGCCAGGATTTTGCCTCCTGCCTTTGCTTAACTGGGATAGGGAAATGGTTAAAGATTCCTCACAGCTATATGGTCTAGCAGGACAAACTCCCAATTCTCTCCACAGGTCAACAACACACAGGCACAGAGGTGAATAGAGAAGTTTGAAACTTGTAACAACTGATTCTGTAGTTACATTACTGACTTCTTTTAAGAAATCTTCCTCTCCATCCTTTCCTCCTTCTTGTTATAACCCTTTACTAAAAGCCACAATAGAATCATAGAATCACAGAACTATTCAAGTTGGAAAAGACCCTTGGGATCACCGAGTCTAACCATCATCCCCGCTCTGCAAAGTTCTCCCCTAAACCATATCCACCAACACCACCTCCAAATGACCCTTAAACACATCCAGGGATGATGATTCAACCACCTCCCTGGGCAGCCTATTCCAGTGTCTAACCACTCTATCTGTGAATATTTTTTTCCTAATGTCCAGTCTAAACCTACCCTGTTGCAGCTTGAAGCCATTCGGTCTTCTGCCGCTAATTACCTGTGAGAAGAGACCAGCACCAGCCTCTCTTTCAGGTAGTTGTAGAGACTGCTGAGGTCTCCTCTCAGCCTCCTCTTTCTCAAACTAAACATTCCCAGCTCCTTCAGCATTCTTCATGAGATTTATTCTCTAGGCCCTTCACCAGCTTCATTGCCCTCCTCTGTACTCGCTCCAGCACCTCAGTATCTCTCTTGAATTGAGGTGCCCCAAACTGGACACAACACTCCAGGTGTGGCCTCACCAGTGCTGAGTACAGGAGGACAATCACCTCTCTACTTCTGCTGGTCACACTATTCCTAACACAAGCCAGGATGCCATTGGCTTTCTTGGCCACCTGGGCACACTGGTGGTTGATATTCAGCTGCTTGTCAATTAGAACCCCCAGGTCCTTTTCTGCCAGACCCTTTCCAGCCACACCTTCCCAGGCCTGAAACATTGCCTGGGGTTGTTGTGGCCCAAGTGCAGGACCTGGTACTTGGCCTTGTTGAAGCCCAGACCATTAACATTAGCCCAATGATCCAATCTATCCAAGTCTCTCTGTAGAGCCTCCCTGTCCTCATGCAGATCAACATTCCCACCCAGCTTGGTGTCATTTGCAAACTTACTGATAATATACTCTATGTTCTTATCAAGATTATCAATAAAGATGTTAAACAGAAACAGTCCCAAATAGCACAGAATGATATGCTACCTCCTCTGCCACTGCAGTGTTTGCTCAGAGTGCCTGAGACTTAGAACCTGTCCTCCCATCCTGGAGAGGCACAGAAACACTGCCCAAGCTGACTCCAGCTTTAGACATCATGGGCAAATTGAAAAACGTTTATTCTGAAATGATCGCATCTTCCTACAGGAAAGCTGGGGAGGGACATTTTACCGGGTCATGTAGTGAGAGGACAAGAGGTAATGGATCAACACTGGAAGAAGGGAGGTCTTTAGGTTAGATATTAGGAAGAAATTCTTTGCTGGGGGTGTGGTGAGACACTGGAACAGGTTGCCTGGGGAAGCTGTGGATGCCCCACCCCTTAAAGTGTTCAAGGCCAGGTTGGGTGGGGCTTTGATTAATCTAATCATCATGGAAGGGGGTTGGAACAAGATGGTCTTGAAGGTACCTTCCAACCCAAACTATTGACTTTTTGTCAACTTGGAAGAATATAAGGAACATGTTTACTCACAGCTTTCTCTGTGTAAATGATCTTATTTTTTCCACAAAGTGGATCTGTGTCTAATCCTCTCTGCTATTGCAAGGAAAGCTGTGTATACAGAACTTTATACTAGATTTTTAATACAACCAGGAGAACATTCCTGCAATCTGGACTGCAGGCTGTGTGACAAGCCTTTTCATTTGTTTTCTGTAATGTCCCTTAATGCACTTCACTATATTATATACTTATCAATCTAGAACAGATTCGCTGTCCCTTGTATTTTTCATGGAAGAATAACTACTATGTCCATCACACCCTTTGGAAATGCCAAAAGAGGAAAAGTACTTTGAGCATTATACAAAGAGGTACTGGGACTTGATTACATGTGTCAGCAGGGTCACAACGAGTCATTGTGTGGGTTTGCAGCCCACCATTTATTCTGTGCCAATGCCTCTGGCTCTTGGAAGATGCTTCAAGGGGACAGCTGATCCAACCTGACAGTGCTGCAGCCAGTGAAGCAAGCCAGCTCCCACCACACCCCATGGATCAGGTTCCACACACCTGCTTTTTCCCAAGTGCCAGCAGTCATCTCTCAGGGAGCTGACTGCTGTACTAGAGCAAGAATATTTTTATTAATTTTTTTCTGGATTACCTTTCTACCAGTGAGCTGCTTGGCTCGGTGGTGTGAGTAGGGTGAAGGATCAGATGGCAACCAGAGTTAAAACAAGGGAAACAGAAGGACAAAAGAGGGAGTGGGAGGAAGGGAGCAAGATTATTATTTTTTGTGGCATTCAGCCACTATTGTTAATAACATTTCTTCCACAACAGTGGTGTGTATTATTCTGTCACATACTTCGACAGTGTAAATGGTGGATTAAAGTAGAAGAAAATCTAGAGCTCTGTATTTATTAATGCCTTCCTTTAATAAATCTAATATCCTCATGCCAGCAAGCCCTTGGGATTTGGTTGTCCAATTGCTGGTGAGGCCAGCCTTAAATATTACTTCTCTCTATGGCTGGTCACTTGTATGTTCCCCAGTGAACATGTTCTTGCTTTGTGATATTAAGAAAGGTAGGGTAATCTGGGAGACTACTAATTTGCAACTGATAATATGAAACACATCTTATCTCCCTGGTTAACCTACATCAGCTCTAGCAATTTATGTAATAGTCCATGACTGTTAGCAAAAGTAGCTGTGCAATATGGAATTGCTACACAGCCTAGTTATCTCATGACCTAACTGTGCAAGACTAAGTGAAATCAATGGGAACTTTAACCCTTTTGTTTCTGACACAGTTTTATTCCCCCACTTGTGGTGGGTCAACTGGCAAAACATAAATTCAAGAAATGCTGAGCTGTCAGAAATATGACCTTGCTGTACTTTGTTGCTTAACGCTAAGTTCAGCCATCATGATTTCTGATGAAGAAATACAAAATGCAAGACAAAGTTGCAGTCCTGACAAAGCATCAGGTCAGATGGACAATAGATGTCATTTTCCAGGAACTGGGAGATGCCACAAATACTTTAGGCTGTAACAAAATTATTACTAGTTTCTCTCTATGGGTTATATGTGTTGGGCTGCACATGTAAACTGGAGGAAAGGCACAACAAGATTCTGTAAAACTAAGTAAGCTACGTTTCAAGAAGGCAAATAGTCGTCTTCCATTTTTTTAGCTGAAAATATAAATAGGCATTTATTATTTGTTAAATGATGATGATGAACTTATTATTAGCCTTTCTATTCAGGCTTTGTTGGATCAAAACTCTTAGTCTTTTTTCAGTTCTAGATCATAAAAACTTATGGAAGCCAATCAATTTTATTAGTAGATTACTTATGCTCTGCTGAGGGCCAGCAGTTGCTTTAGCTTTGTTAGTTTTGATAGAGAAGTGGCATACGAATGTCACAAACACTATTTTAAATTAGAAGTATCTGGTATGCCTCTAGTAGATATAATCTGGCCATTCACAGATAGCAGATATGCAGAGAGACAGATGGCTAGACATACTAATAGCTAAAACTGATAGCTTTATTTCTAAAAATAGCAGAGACTAACCTTGAGGACTGAAACAAAAATGCAGCACTAAGGCATTTTGGCAAACCATATACCATGCTGTATTATCAATTCATCAGGAATTCAATATGTTAAGTAACATTATTTGGCTTCTGATAACCTGCTGATCTCACACACTCAGGTAGGAAGTAAAAGCTCTTAGGCACATAGTGATAAAGATTTTTGTGGGAAATTCATCAGCTACCAATAAACTTGAGTGGTTAGACCTCTATGGGGGAAAAAAAAAATCTGAGCAGCTGAAAAAAAAAAAAAAATCATATGTAAAATGATGGGAAATTTTACCATAATAAATAATAGTGTTTTAGGGGAAGGAAAGGCAAAAAGAAGTGAGTGAGCCATATCAAAATACCTCTTTTCAAGAATATCAGATACAACTCCAAAACTTTCATTTTTCCCTCCTGAATTACCAAGGACAGTTTTCTAAACCCCTAAGGCTGTAATGGAAAGGCACCTCTCCCCTCAGCATTTTTGCCCTTTGGTACTGAAATAAAGTGCATCTTTTAAAAGAGGAAAGTCTCCACTGGGTGGATCACTGCCAAGGTACTGCTGGTGGTGTCCTTTGACTGTGCTCTCCGAGTCACAGTTAATTTTAAGAGCCTCTAAAAAGATACAATAAATGTATGTAATGTTGAAATTCCTTTAACTTGGTGGAGGCAGGACTAGACACAGCTCATCCCAAAAGACCTGGGATGCAGGTGGAGCATTCGGGGGTTAGAGAAGTTAGTAATGTGTTTTGTGTTGAAGAACAGGTGTATGTTAATAAACCAGAGGTTTATCACACATGAAAAGGTCATATCTTGATGTTATATCTTGCATGGACTTTGGGTTGTCCACCTAAGGACTTCTCATGGGTGGAGAACTGCACCTGCCTGCTTGCAGATAACAGCCTATACCCTGAGAATCTCTTGTCAAATTTCTAAAGGGCAACTGCTCTTGTCTATACACTTACGGGTGCTTTCTCTTTGCTGCAACAACAGTATGCAGCCTTCCAGCAAAATATGTCCTCCCTGTTTACTCAGGCTAATGTCTCAATAACTGCAATAAAGAATTGATGAGGCTGGTAAGAGTTTGATAAGCTGTAAAGATGTAGGCTTAAGGGAAGCACAGTCAGGCTTCTACTACTAGCAAGAACAAAAATTGTAAGAACTATTGATTGTATTTATTTTAAAACTAAAGTTGTCCCTCTTCATTGCAGATGCTAAGCAGCTCATCTGGATTTGCTTGAGAGTAAACTGATGATAATGCAATTTGACTAAATCTTGATAACAAGGTAATTTATGAAAATTTGACTTGCTATAGTGTGAAGTGTCCTAAAAGTATTAATTCAGGAGGAAAAAAAAAAAAAAAAAAAAAAGAATATTTAATATTTCTTTATCTAAATCCAGCAATAATATTTTATAGCAAAATAAATTTATCCTACAAATATATATTTGGTCTTACTGTGTCAACCTGTCAACTTGTGCAAATGACGAAGATATACTCAGAGAATGCATAGACAGAGAAACAACTAGGAGTCTTTTTTCAATACTTTTGTACTGTGTAGAATCTAAGATATGATTTTGCATATAATGGTAATATCTGAAAGAGTTTTTCCCTTTTATTAAAAATGTCATTTTGACATTTATTTTCACCCAGTGGGTAAGGACCTGAAGTTCAGGCCCTGCTTCATATAGGTCCAAAATGGAAAGACAAATGATTACAGGGCTTCTTTGAAAGTATATCTTGCTTACTAGGATTTTTTCCTGTCCCAGAGATTTTTGAAAAACTCCAAATAAAATTGTAATTTAAACTGATCTGTTTCTCTCAAATATTTCCTTGAAAAATGACCTTTCCAGAAGTGAAATGTTATAGAAAATAATGTATTTTCATGATGCCCTGCCTCAGCATAATGAAGAGCTCTGCTATTTCCTTTGCAGTCAGCTCTAAATTTGCCTTACATATACTACAGTGAATAACTAATATTTGTTTTTCTTAGTAATCCTTACACAAAGACAACTAAATCAGAATTAGTTAGATTTAAGTCCCTCTTGTGCCTCTGCTGAAACTATGACATATTTCAGCTGTTGCACCTTGGATGTTCTTTTCTGTAAGGGAGTTGTCTTAGAGTCTAATGGTCTCACTATGCAGTCAGCATAACAAGAAAAAAAAAAGAAAAGAAACAGGATAACTGGTGCTTAAAAACAAATAAGTACCCATGTGCTTAAATAAACCTCTACAAAGTCACTTTTTGCTGGTTTATATGATGCATGGTACAAATTTTCATTTTTATATATGTCAAGCAAGCTACCCTGAAATAGGTACAAACAACTGAAACATGATCACAATGCAGAAAATTATAAAGAGGTTGAGGAAAAAATTACTTGGTCTAACACCTCACCACTAAGAACTCATGCAGGTCTAATTTCATACACAGACATTAGCAAACGATGCTGTATAACTAGCTCGTTATTACCAGTAAGTGGATGAACATGTAATATTGCTGCTGTGTCTCATTTGTTTTGAAAATAGTTAATGGAATAAGACAACATTCTGGATTAACTCGAAGTAAATACTTAATATACAGAGATACACTGGTTTTAAATTCTTTGCTTTCTGGAAAAACTGCCATTTCCTCAGTACGTCAATCAATTACAATTATTTGTGAATAAAGTAATTTTTTATGTAAAATGTTGCAAGATGAGTGAGACATTACTTAAGGAGAATTTTGTTTTTATTCTCTGTAATTTGAAAATTCCATGAAAAATACAATAAGGATTGGAAAATTCCTCTATAGTTAGGTTTTTATTGAGCTTGCTGAAAAAAATTAAAATGCCATATAGAAGCCATTTATTTCAACTTTTTTTAAAAAGTCATGGTAGAATCTATGTTGGGCCTAGATTCTAAAACACACAGTTTAACTTTTCGTGGCAGTTCATAGATCCATCTCTACAAATTACTTCAATAGCTGTTGAGTGAAGAGAAGTCTTCCAGAAGGGCCCTTGAATAAGTAACTTCTAGATCTCCACAATTTTTAGCACCCCACCAAATCATTAGGAGGCCTAATCATTAGACAAGACCTTAATGTTTCCAGATTTTTAACTGTAGGAGAGTCATTGTCTGCAGTGACCCCAAGGGGACTCCATGTCTTCACAGTGGACACCTCAGAGATTCCACTCTTTCACTCCAGAATACTCCATGATTTAGGCCCTCAGTTATACACCCTTTTCACCAAAGATTTAACAAATTAACTTTTCATTTTTCTTTACAGACAAAAATAGATTTTAAAGAAACAAAGTAATCTAAAAAAAACCTGAAGAAAAAAATTGTGTCTGCCAGTTTTACAACACTCAATCTCAAATACCCTTCACATCCCTTGAATTAAGATGTATATGATCCCATCCTGCAGTCTCATGGAGCACATTGGCTTGGGATATACAAGCATGTGAGCTCAATGTGTGTAAATGTAAGATTAGATTCAGCATCAGAACTTTGTTCAGTTTATTTGCTCTACGTAAATATAAGTGTATAGAGTGAATATCAAAATGCAGAAAAATAAGCATGTGGATCATCATGGGGAAAAACATAAAGAAACTACAAACATATAATACAAATTAAAAATGCATTATTTCAACTTACATTAATGAAAAGACATCTAAAAAAACATTTAACTTCTCATGTCTAGGATGAAATACAGCAAGCAAGGAAACATGACAATATAATGAATATATTTTAAAATATATTGTTGCAGCTTCTATTCCTAGGGAATTTTGTGATGCATATATTAAAAAAAACTAAGTTTCATAAAGGAAAAAAAAAAAAAAAAAGATACAAGAAGAAACAGAGCACAAGAACTACAAATAATCATTAGTGAATAACCACAGACCACATGAATTGAAATATCCATACCTTTTTTATTGCTTTTCCTATAAGGAAATCTCCAATTGGTATCAGAGCTCCCCCAAAGATAGCCAGAACAGCACCGATGATGGCCCCAGTGATGAGCCCACAGTTCGTGCCACAGCCCATTCCTCTCCTTTGTCAAGGTGCAGGCAGAAAATGTAAAAATATCCTTGCTGTAAGGTTTGATGTTTGTGGGTTTTTTTCTCAATTCTTAGTCCAAATAGACGCACTGATCTTCCCAAGAGAAGCTGCTAATATAAGGAGAGAGTGAACAAAAATCACATTCCAAAGCTCAAAGTACAAAGTGCATGAGGTGAAGCAGGTAGAAAGATAACATGTTAAAACCAGCCAGTAGTGGCAGACCATGCCAAAACCAAAAATGTTGCATGCACTTTTTGTAAGCTAGCTGCTTGTTACATATAGTTGTTTGTTGTTTGTTGTTGTTGTTTTTTTAATTTCAGTTCTCTAAAAGACTTATAAGGTCTTTCAGTAGTCTGTTTTTTTTATTATTATTATTTTTTGGCTCTGTTGCATTAGGGCAAACTGACACTGTTATTATTCAGCTGACACTCTTCCTGAGGCAAGCACCTTCCCTGAAATCTCACTGTGCCAAAGGAGAAGGCTATAGCCCTTTGCTTTAACAACAGCCTGCGATGTCCATGGCCCACTTCAGGGAAAACCAGAAACTTACAGAACTAGTGGGAGCAAACCAGGCTGTTTTTGCAATCTTAGGGCAGGTATTAGTTACAGAGCTAATTATACATTCAAGGTAAATACAGAGAGCAAAATAAAACATAAAGATGAAGTGGAAGAACATCTCAAACTGAATTCCCAGTTTACTCATAAAGATTAAAGGGATAAAAAGTTTTCATGGATTTCTAAACAGTAAAGCAGGTGTAGAAATAGCTAGTGTTTTAGTTTTGTAAATGCATTTATGACATCCTTTTACTAAATAAAGGACACATACAACATATACTGATACAGAAGGTTCAGCAAGCTAATGTGTCCTACCAAACTACCATATCATGTCCATACCTGATCCCAGACTGCTCCTTTTATTTGCATTGGAAACCCACCTTTTGCTTGCTTTCTCACTTGGAGCAGTTTACGGTTCCCTTGCCATTAACAATGACTATTTCTGTGCATTTGTGCTCATTTGGTATTTTAATCATTTCCTCTTGGCTGCATGCAAGCAAAATGACCAAAACACCACTTGCAATCTCAGAAAAACACCCTTCCTATCAAAGTTAGCCAGTCCATCCACCTGCCACCAGGTCATTCCATGTGGTTTCCACATTAGAACTTTGCACTTGGATTGCTTTGCCTGCACATACAAGGGACCAAGAAAAAAACCAGATTTGGCTAAAGGTTTTGACTTTCACTAGGGACTGAGAAGAACCTCTTTACAGCTGTAAACCTGGCTTTTCTGCTGGGGAAGGTACATTTTATTTGCACTGCATGTTCACTTAGTTTTTTTCCTCTCCACCACCTCTGTTACTCTATGACTTTACACAGAATGGTGATAGAAGCTCCTGAAAGGCACAACATTAAGACAAAAATTTATTTTCTCAAACTTTTTCTGCAACTTGTTGCACTTTTCACAAAGAAAGACTTGACTGAAGTACAGAGACACCAAGTTATTAAAGCCTCTTTGACATACTGGATGGATGCATACTGTGGCTAAAGGCAAACTTTTAAGCAAACTCAAGTTAGAAATTCATTAGACCTGAAGAACTTTTAAGTGGAATTCACTAGGACCAACTCTCATGTTTTTGTAGATATATTCAGATCAGGATCTTTAGTCTGGCAAAAGCAGACCTGTAATACAGCTGTGCAACTGATGGGGTGAGTGGTGTGGGGATTGGAAAAATATGACTGCTGTTACATATTGCAGAAAATCTAAGTAGTAGAAATCATAAATGAAATCAAATTCTGGAAAGCAGGTATTCCAAGCTGATTTTTTCCCCAATGATACAATTTCTAGCATTTATTTTTTTTTAATTGTGGAAATAACGCATCTTAAAATTTAAAACAGAAACCATCTTTTCCAGAATTGTTTAAGGAGGGCTTTTAGGAATTGTCAGACCTCTTTTCTTGACTTACATACTGAAGCTTTTAAAATCCAACAGAAACACACCTTCCACCAAAATACATTTCCATCAGGGTTTCTACAAGCTGTTCCATTGGATTGTGTTTTTGTTTTGCAGGCTAGGTATCTGTCATGAGCACTTTCACTAAAAGAGCTAAAAAGTAACTGGCTGTAATAACTTGTGTCTATTTCAAGATTTTGCAGATTGTAAAATATTCACCCTTCTCTCACCAAACACAATACAATAGCAGTCTAAACAAATCAAAGTTATGCAATTCAAACTATCCATTACACAGCTGCAACGAAGAGCACTCATATTGTAATACTTCATGTAGAAGTCAAGAAGCTACTCTCATCTATCACAACTGAATGTAAAATATGAAGATTAAAGTAGAAAATTCCAAAAAGAAAGCAGTTGTGTCCAGAAATTCCTATTCAAGCAAAAATAATTTAACTTAAGCAGAACAGAATATACCATAAAAAAATGTAGATATTATCTATGGGAATATAGTACCATTTACATTTAGATTTGACTACAGAATTAATAAGAATATTCAACTCATTCTAGAAAGCTGGATATGTACTTATTAATATTGTTTCAAATGTCCTTAATGGAATATTGACCATGGAAATGGTCCACTCAAATCTCTGAAAAGACAATTTACAAGCAACTGAATAGGGAGAAAAGATGCAAAATGCTATTGAGATTCTTTTTCTTACTTAATTTACTCTTCCATACATGTCAGTCTAAGTAAGCCCTTATAAAATATCAAATATCTAGATTTTCTTAATTATTTCTCCAGCTCTAAGAATATTTTTTAATGTTGCTTGACATGAAATTACTTCTGTTCTGACAGAGAATCAGATTTATTGCCTCAAATGAGAGTAACTACATGGGGAAGATGCAGTGTGTATAGTGAAAATTAAAGAGGGTTTAAAAATTCCTATTGAGAGTTTCAATCCAAAACTACAGTTCTTGTTTCTCCAAGGTCAGATGGTGGGATTATAAATCCTGAAACTATTAAGAGATGCATTTGCAGATAAGAAGTTATTAATGTGTTGTGTTGTTTTTAATCTTTGACATGCTTTGGAATCATAGTTTTGAGCTTTTTATATGCAATAGTAAATGCTACAAATATTATAGAAGGTTCATTATAAAAATACATAACAATTTAAAAATACATCTTATAAAAAGTTTCATTTCCTATAAATTCACATGGCTGAAACTGTAGTTTCAATAATATCTAATATCAAAAGACAGAGTGAAACAGGGAAAGCAAGCAATACTGAACATAAAATACCATTGCTAACACAGTAACCAAGTATTTCACTTAATATATGTAAAATTTCACTGTTTCTGGAAACAGCTTTGGATAATCCTGCCATTTAATTTATATTACAAATAAATATTTTCAAAAGCTTTCCTGCACCTGATTTTAGAACTATTAAAGAGGAAAACCCTCTGATTTTAAAAGTTGTATCATATGACTCACCTTGAATAAGGGCAACTGACTTTTCAGCTGAACAGACAAGTACTTAACACATGATTTGGATCAAGTTACAAGATGACAAGCAGCTACATCTCCCCACCAAGAACATAGCCTCTAAACTCTGAGGGAGTGTTTATATATTCCAAGAGACGTCAGTTCCCTGCTTATCTTTTTTTTTTTTTTTTTTTTTTTTTCGGCCAGAAGAAAAAGTTGCATTGGTGCTGGGGGGGTGTTATTTTTACAGTCTGACTAAAAGCCACTACCTACATCTCGTGGTAATATACTTAGCAGCTGCAATCTTTGTCAAATTTTGATCCAAGTGAGCCAAAGGTCAAGGAGACAAAAGGATAAATTACTCAGTTACTGCTTACTTCTTCTTTAATAACTATATGTTTTAAAACTGCTCATACTAACAAGTTATGACTAATTAGTTCCTGGTAACTTCTTTGAGATATAGAATATTTACAAATATTCTTTTTGTGTAGCATGCTCTGCTGTATAAATAGAGCCTTATTATTACATAATTCTCTTTCAAAATACAGGCTAAATACCATTGCAGTTTAATTGTCATGATAGTATATTTTTAATTAATAAAAACCAGGAAATGTCAGAATATTTTAAAGCTAGTTTTTTTCACACTTTGGATTGCAACATTTCCTCCCAAAGTGCTAAGTCTCTTCCTCTTTTACTGCAAGTTCAATGAACTTCATCCCAGAAAATTTTTCTTAATGTGTTTAAAAATCAGTTATTTTTACACTGACGTATGGAACAAAGCATCACCCCAGCATAGTGTCTAATAATAATAAGCATTAATCAGTTTGGCAAGATTTTGCACAAATATTTTTAAATATCTCCTCATCCCAGGTGAATTAAATGAACGGGTCTTTTTAAAAGATTCTTCTTGCAGCAGCAAGAGGTAGTTATTTATATTTGTATTATTTAATTATAAGAGCAAATATTTCTAAGAATAGATTCTTATGGACAGGCTTTCAGGGTATAGCACTCAATAGTTTGTGATTCAGATGTTTAGTATTCGCTAGGTGTTTTGACTGATTGTTACTGTTCTGTTTTTTATATTGCCCTATTTGAAAGTTGAGCTTCCTTGGAAGAAGCTCCTTTCTTCTAATCTGCTTCCCTGTAGACCTAAGGTGGATGACGATTAATGAATTTGAGATTTTATTTCCTAGTAGTGAAAGCAAGAGTGAAAGTGAGCCTGATTCTTTAAAAGCAACCTGGAGTCTTTGTACAAGGCTCGCTGCCAGGGAAAGTTGGTGACCCTGACTGCCTCCATTTTCATATCCGTAAAAAGTGGAGTAAATTTGCTTTGCTCTATTCTCTAATTAAAGGATGGAGTTTCCCTGCTGAAAGAAGGGGTCCTCCATGTTATGGTTCCCTCAACTACTTTTATGAATATTATAATTAATTCTTTCCATTGGACATCTCCTCAAATGATGCTTTCCTAACAATGCTCTTGGGGATACCCCAGGTTTCCTCCCAGGCTGCAGCTGATTTGTCTCTTGTATGAGGAAGTAATTCCATTTACACACACATGTCCACAGAGATGTTCCCTTCCATGCTCATTTTCTCCATTTGCAGTGTATGGGATTCAGCGTGCACCAGTTGTAGAGGAGGAAAACACCTACTGTTGTGTTTTGGTTGGTATCCTAAAGGCCCTAACATGGATGTAAAGAAGTTAAGTTTTCAGCATAAACATACTGACTTGATGATACCGTATTATTGTCCTGCATAAACAAGATCTTTCCTAGCAGGAAATGCTTGACAAGGAAATAAGAACTGCCAGGTTCAAATGCAGACATCAGGTAGAAGGATTTGAAGCTGAGAGAAGTTGTCCACTTTTGGATATCAATTATTTCCGTTTCTTAAAAACAAAACAAACTGTAAGTGCTTAGTGATCCTCTGTTATCTAGCCTTGCATCAGAGTTCAGAGGTTATACAGGAGAAAACACAGAGATACACACCAACTGAGCAATGACAGAAAAAGCAAAAAAATAAGTGTACGTCATTGGTGTCTCCCATGGTGAGACAACAAACTACCCCACATGTAGAAATTGTCAAGAAAGAGGAATACTGTAAATCACACTCATGTGCTTAATGAAGACTCAGAAAACCACAAGAAGCAGAAAAAGACAAAAGGTGGGGTTTTTTTCACCTGCTTGTTATGAAACTTGTAAAAACTATTTTCAACATTAAACCCCTATCAGATGTGGAGATGTTAGTAAATGTTAGCTGAGTTTAACAAAACAATGAAAAAACTCATGTCAATATATTTGCACCCTCTGAATTTTTCAGAAGACACAAACGTTTAAAAAACCCAACAAAACCAAGTTTAGAGTCATTAGGCAAAGTGCCTGTTAATTTAGCTCCTAATAGAAAAATCAAGTTGCTGTAGCAACCCTATAGCAACCCCAGCTGCCTACTGCCCTTCGAGTCAGTTGATCTTCCATCAGCCACAAAGAGAAATAGAAAGTTACACAGAGCTTTTAAACTCTTTCACAGTTAAGCTGTCTCAAGTAATAAGGAATTACAAGATAATACTCTTTCACACTTACACATTGCCAGGAAGACCAGCTCTAAGAAACCCTTTCAACACCAGGCTCTGATTCCTTTAGTCCCTACAATAGCTCAGCACTTGAAGGCAACATATCAGTCCCTGTTGCAGATCTAGAACAAGCTGAACCAACTTTGCTCTTTGCAGTAACTCTGTAAACACAATTTGATCCCAGTTAATCCTCACAGAACACTGGAAGCCAAGTAAGGAGTTTGATACCAGAGACAGCTCCTCAGTTTTGGGCTTATTGCACATATTTACCCCGAGATAGTGCAGAAGGAAGGATTACAGCTGTAAATACAGCTGTTTAAATTCACAGGATTCTTTCTAGTGATTTCTACAGGCTTTGGTTCAGAACTTTGTTGTCTAAATGAACTCCTGAGCCATGTGACAGTGCTACTGTTTTGTTTGCCTGTCAGTTTGGATCTTTGCTTGATGTCACCAGCTGGATGAGATTTCTGCCTCTCCTTGTGTCATGGCAATACTAGATGTTCTTTCACAGGGAATGAAATTTTGCATTCATGAAAATGATTTTCTATGCAAATTAAAACCTTATTTGTATCACATCGTCACATAGTACGTAAGAGGCAGCACACGAGCTATTCACCCAGACTAGCCCCAACAATTTACTTCAATTCCATTGCATAAAAGCCTCCCCTAGAGTGAACATGGCCTACCTTCAAGTACCACTTATAAAAACTTTAGCATTTAACAATCCAATTATAAAAATAATAACGTAGCACTATTCTTTTTTCCCCTAAATTGTATGTTCACTGTCTGTCTCAGAGGTACTGTCACTGGGACTGCTATGTTGTACCTCCTCATTTTCCAAAAGCCATGGTATAGAACAGAGGTATTTGACAGGAGTAGTCACCTCACTTTAAAGAAAGAAGTATTAAGATAGTCCAGTTTTTCCAGTTTTTCTTGTAGTATCATCTCTTTAAGGACTTACAATTAAAATAAATTTTTAAAAAAGGAAAAAAAAAAGAAAAGAAAAAAAAAGGGGGGGAGACCTAGTTTCATATCAATACTTCATTTCTTGTTTAAAGGTGATTACAAATGCTTATTGCAAGTAACTTTATCCAGGTAAAAAGTAGCCATCTAGCCCAGGGAACATTAATTAGTTTCCTCTCCTCCCTAAGGAGAGGTGTGAACTCATTCCATGGACTAATGTCACCTACCTTCAAAATCCCCAAAACAGTCTTTCAGTTTCCACTCTTGTCACTGGACCATACCAACAATACCAGGACAACTGTACAAGGCTCTGGTAAGTGCAAACAAGTTGTGAAGCAAAAAAAAAATACAATGAGAAAGCTTCAGAATATTTACCACCTGACATTATTGGAATGTTTGGCCAAAGATTGCAGATGCAGCGAGGCAATTTTTTGCCCACCTCACAACACAGACTCTTACTGCAGTGTTGGTCTCCAAGGCTTTCCAGTGCATGCCCTGAGACATACTCCAGCCATCCACATCAAGCACCCTTCAGTTCCTTGAAAAAACGGCCTCCCAAACATGCATTAATACCTGATTTCTCATCACAAGAGCTTGGAAGACTCATTCCAAACTGCTGTGTAGCTTCTTCATTACTGACTAACAACTTCCAGGTGTAGTTTTCTCAGCTCTGTGAAGTGGTAGGACCTAAGGTGCTGTCCCTTGTGAGTCTCAGTGTGTTTTGATGATATGGAAAATATCCTAAAATACCACTGAGTTAAGCCAACTTGGCAGCAGTACAGTGGAAACAGTGTGATATATTTGGCTCCTGCCAGTGATGAGCTTCACTGTCAAACTGTAACTAGGTTCTTTAAGGGGAAAAATGGTGATGGAAGACCCAGGGGCTGCTTTGGTTAATTATTATTTTTTTTCCCCAGAAATATTGATTCTGCAGAGACAGCTCCTCAGTTTTGGGCTTATTGCACATATTTACCCCGAGATAGTGCAGAAGGAAAGATTACAGCTGTAAATACAGCTGTTTAAATTCACAGGATTCTTTCTAGTGATTTCTACAGGCTTTGGTTCAGAACTTTGTTGTCTAAATGAACTCCTGAGCCATGTGACAGTGCTACTGTTTTGTTTGCCTGTCAGTTTGGATCTTTGCTTGATGTCACCAGCTGGATGAGATTTCTGCCTCTCCTTGTGTCATGGCAATACTAGATGTTCTTTCACAGGGAATGAAATTTTGCATTCATGAAAATGATTTTCTATGCAAATTAAAACCTTATTTGTATCACATCGTCACATAGTACGTAAGAGGCAGCACACGAGCTATTCACCCAGACTAGCCCCAACAATTTACTTCAATTCCATTGCATAAAAGCCTCCCCTAGAGTGAACATGGCCTACCTTCAAGTACCACTTATAAAAACTTTAGCATTTAACAATCCAATTATAAAAATAATAACGTAGCACTATTCTTTTTTCCCCTAAATTGTATGTTCACTGTCTGTCTCAGAGGTACTGTCACTGGGACTGCTATGTTGTACCTCCTCATTTTCCAAAAGCCATGGTATAGAACAGAGGTATTTGACAGGAGTAGTC